TAGCAGGTTCATAGCTAGCATTAGCAATCGTATTATCATGCTCATTCAATGCAGGCTTTGCTTCATCATATAAAACTATAAAAATATTAACATTATTATCATACTTAGGATATGTATATACCTATTCATGCATTATAGTTTTGTTAGTAGTAAAAGTACATTATTTACTATAAATGCTCTGTTATTTATACCTTGTAGTTGATAGTTTGGATTGTTTACAGCACCAAGTCTTCCTTTATCATTCCCGGTACTACTAACATCAGTATAAACATGACTACTATTACTATCATTCCTAGTAGATGATACAGGTAGTGATAATTTCCTCTTTTTTCTAAACAGCACCACACTGACAATCAATATTACTATAATAGTAGCTACCAGTAGTACAATGACTGCACTGATAGCTGCTATTAGTATTATAGATGCACCATTTCCTGCATTGCCTTGTCCTGGTGTTGAAGTTATTGTAGTGCTTAGTGAGGAAGTGATACTAATAGATGCAGTAGTAATGGAATCAGTAGTAATGGAATCAGTAGGAACAGCAGCAGTAGTAATAGTAGGAACAGCAGTTACTGTAGTAGTATACATAGCCATACTACTACTATATGGAGGCCTCATAACTAGTGACAGTGAAGTAGTATCTGATGTAGCTATTGAGGATGTGGTTGATGTTGTAATGTAATTAGAAGATGTAACAGTGGTAGTTACTGATATAGGTTCTATGGGAGAAATTATTAATGTTCATAATACCAAATAAAAGTTATTCTTACCTACTACAACTGAGATGAGTGGATAGTCATTGTCATCTAATGCAATTAACTCATTGTTGTCCACCAGTCTGTAATTGTGTGGTCCATTGTATTGTTGATAGTACATATAATTTGGAAGATTACTCTCAATCATCAGTATGTCACCAGGTTGTACTGGTATCTCATTGCTCATAGTAAAATTATATAAATACTGAGATATGCTAACAGCATCATTAATGTTTATTGTTAGTGCTGTAGTAGTGAGATTATTTGAGTGTCTTATTTTAATTACTGGCATAACTTGTGCAGGAATATTAACTATCCAGTTAGTAATAATACCATGACATGTGAACCTTATATCAGGAAATATTCTAGTATCAGAAACATAATATGAATTAGTAATGGCATAACTTAATGAATTTATCATGTCATCAGGTACAAATTGTGGAAAGCAACCTAAATAATAGAAATGAGTTATTTATCAGTATGACTGATTTATTACATACTTGTATTCTGTACTATTGGATATATTAATATAGTGACTTCTTCACGGTCAACCTGTCGACCTCCTCCTGATATTGTAATGTTATTGTTGTTAATGTAATTTGATTGTACTTTTCCAGTTCTATCTTTATCAACCATACCACGCAGGTTCATGTAATGGAATCTAACAACACTTTTGTCATCAGAAGGTTGATATACACCAATCCTGTATCCACTGGAGACATTTAATGGAGTAGGGAGGGTGAAACGATACTGTCCATTAGTTGTAAAGTTATCAGGAGTCAGTCTGATGTCATCAGACATTACTCTAGTGTACACACTGTTCATGTTATTAGCTGGAGCCCATACTTCAAATCTTGGATATAAATTTCTACCAAAAAGATTGTTAACTGTCCTTATATCAACTCCAATCAAAATTTCTGTTATAACTGTAGCACATGTGAATTTTATGTTGTCCTTAATGATAATCCATCTTGTTGCTACACCCGAAGGGTTCTTATAGTTAGATAATCTGTTATTACGTAAATTTCCCATTGGAGTTGTTGCTTTACCCTGTAGAAGACTATAATCCATAAATCCTTCAGTACAAGACTCTCCATTAACCTCCAGTAATATTCCATTACTCATGAAGCACACCAGTAGTACTAATAGAAGATAGGAAGACATTTCTTCGAGAGTTTAGAAATTCTGTGAACCACGCCCAGCTATAGATCTAGATCTAGAAATCTCCCACTGCTATAGATTTAGTCGGAAACGCGGGAGAAGTTGGCATAAGGGATATGCCTATAACAAAATCAAAAGCCCATTTTGGGAAACCTACAATGTTTTTTGACAATAAATACTAGCTCTAGACTACGATGGATGTTTTTGGTCTTGTTTGCATCAGTTGAATTTGCTTGAAAACTCACAGAATCTCACACATTGTGTGGGTGTGTGCACCATTTGTGGCTGTCATTTACAGTGCTATTGGTTTTACCAATCTTAACTACATTATTTTGATTAAAAATAATAGTACACACATGACTATGTTATTGTAGAAGGTGCAGTTTGTTGCTTTGTCCATATGCTTCATTTTGCCTTATTGTAACCTAATATTGACAGAATATGCTAAAAACATCAATAAAACACTGATGGTAACTGATTTAACAATAAATACATGATTACAGTACATTCAATACATTGCATGTACTGATGTATTCTATACGTATGCACATAAACTTACCTCTTGTTCATGATACATTGTTCTTGGTTCATCATACACTAATGATTCTTCATTGATACCTATAGTCCAATACAACAATAATCCTTTTAATAATACTTATCTAAACAATTACCAGTACATACAAATTGCCATTGCTCTGTTCGCATAAAACATAATAAATTTGCTCAATAGAGGATATGCGTGCTAAGTATATTCATAGCTTTTAACATAGATAATAGAGTAAATGAAAGGGATTGGAAACGGAAGCGTGGGCGTAGCCCAACCTCCATTCATTTGTATTGCATTGCTGCTAGGCTGACAGAGGCTCGTTGAAATTTTTTGTCACAATTTACCCTTGATTTTCTTTCTTTTAGGAGCAATATCTCGCAAACAAGTGTTCCTATGCAAGTGAAATTAATACATCAAGAAGCCTAATGTTTCCTCTTTATAATTCTGTTTTCTATTGTACAGATAATTTTACCATGTTAATGTTATGGCACTTTTAAAACCATAAAATGTATTTTTTGTCATTATAATCCCTTTTTTGAAAACAAGCTAGAGTAAAATGCAATATCTTTATAATCATATGAAAGAGTTTTCATTTGCATATCGAATGATACTAGTTAAGGTTAGAATCCATGAAGCATGAGTTTGTTACTACAGAAAAAGGGCGAAAAATGAAAAAATTTTGTTGTACCTATAATTCGTTGCAAAATAGCGTTGTAGAAGTAAAAATCTTGCTGCAGGTAGTCCAACACTTTCTATATCGAACGGTAGGTATATCATAAGTAAGCGTCCTCTTGGATCGCCATAAATATCCTTCGAAGTCCTTGCAGTACAGCCTCACTAATGGAGGAGATGGGAAATCAACCAGGTATTGGGCCGGTAACCAATAGCAACATCAACCAGCCTACGCCCCCGTTTCCAATCCCTGTGTACTCTAATATCTATGCTTTTAAGTACCGTATATCCAACCCACACAGTAAATTGGCCGCCATGTTGGACGTCAAGTTTATTAAGAGTTCAATGGGGGAAAACACATTTTCTTGCCTTGCTACCTTCTTGAGGCCTTTTTCGGAAGCTCAGAAAGCATCCTGAGGATCTAATGGGGTCTAGTAGTCACCTGAAAGATTGCTATCAAGAAATACAGAGCGGTTTTCTGGTACCAAGCCTTTTTCTATCTTTTCTCCATTGCTGCCAATGGAAAGTTGACGTCCAACGAACTAATTTTTTTTCTTGAAAGTTATTACGGTATGCAATGAATACATTTATTTTGCAATGAATATACTTAGCACGCATATCCTCTATAAAAAATATTATATTATTCTTACAATTATTTCTCCACTCAACTCCATACACACTATTACTTTCTATTCCTCCAGTGTTAATACCATAGGCAGGATTAGCAGATACACCAGATTCTATTAATAGTTGTATTGATTGATAATAATAGTCTATCTTACTTTCAGCAACACCATAGGCAGGATTAGCAGATACATCAGTATTATGCCCTACATTATGTCAATTCATTATTATACTTATATATAGGTCTTACTTTCACCAGTAACTCCATAGGCAGGATTAGCTGATGCTAATAGTGTATTTTCCATATTTGGTGCTATAAATTGATTTTCATTATCATGTTTACATACATACTTAGTATAATAAACATTACCATCTGATTGTTGATTTATATCAGCTTTTCTTTCACCAGAACTGAAAGTATCATTTCCATTTGATGTTTTATACCATATTCTTCTACACACTAATACACTCACTATTAATATTACTAGTATAGTAACTACCAGTAATATAAATACTGCTGTACTAATACTTCCTGCTAGTATTAGTGTATTACTTCTTGTGTTTTGAGATGTAGTAAGTGGTGTATTGATGACTGTACTATTCATTGATGCACTAACTGTGATAGTATTTTCAGTTAGTACTAGTGTAGTATTACTTCCTGTATCTTGAGATGTAGTAACTGGTGTACTGACTGTACTTTCCATTGATGTAGTTAAGCTAGTTTTAGTATACTTCATTGATTCCATTGTTACAGTAGCTGTGGAGTATATGCTTGATGATGGAAGTACAGTATTGACAGTATTAATATGTGTACTACTGATTGTTGAAGTAGCTGTATAAAATGATGTTGGCTCTGTGACATTGGAAATAAATTATATTATTCTTACCTACTACAACTGAGATGAGTGGATAGTCATTGGTATCTAATGCAATTAACTCATTGTTGTCCCCCAGTCTGTAATTGTGTGGTCCATTGTACTGCTGATAGTACATATAATTTGTAGAATTACTTTCAATCATCAGTACATCACCAGGTTGTACTGCTATCTCATTGCTCATAGTAAAATTTGATAATAATGGAGGTATGTTAAAAATATCATTGGGGTTGAATGCTATAGCTGTAGTAGTGAGATTATTTGTATGTCTTATTTTAATCACTGACGTCACTTGTACAGTTAATATCCAGTTAGTAATAATACCATGACATGTGAATTTTATATCAGGAAATATTCTGGTATCATAAAGAAACCTTGAATTGGTAATCATACTTACGAAGTTGTTCATGTTTTCAGGCATAGGTTGTGTGAAGCAACCTACATTTAAAAAATACATACAAATTATTATTATTATTAATATTTATTTACTTGTATTCTGAGCTAATGGGTATATTAATATATACCATGTTTTGTGGTCAACGTTTTTACTTCCTCCTGCTATTTTAATGTTAGTATCATTAATTCTACCTGATTTTACTTTTCCTATTCCATCAATACCACTAGGCAGGTTAATATAATGAAATCTAACAACACTTCTGTGATCAGGAGGTTGATATACACCAATCCTGTATCCACTGGAGACATTTAATGGAGTAGGGAGAGTGAAATGATACTGTCCATTAGTTGTAAAGTTATCAGGAGTCAGTCTGATTTCAATAGACATCTCTCTAGTGTACACATCATCATCATTAGTTGGAGCCCATACTTCAAATTTTGGATATAAATTTCTACCAACAGTATCATTAACTGTTCTTATATCAACTCCAATCAATATTTCTAGTACAACTGTAGCACAAGTAAACATGATGTCTCTCTTCATAAAGTTCTCATCTTCTTGATCCTCAATAATAATCCATCTTGTGGCAGTGTTTTCAGCTAGTCTGTTATTACGTAATGATCCCAATGGATTTCTTGCTTTATCCTGTAGAAGACTATAATCCATAAATCCTTCAGTACAAGACTCTCCATTAGCCTCCAGTAACATTCCATTACTCATGAAGCACAGCAGTATTACTACTAATAGAAGATAGGAAGACATTTCTTCGAGAGTCTAGACTCTAGAAATTCTGTGAACCACGCCCAGCTCTAGATCCACTCAATAGAATAAGGAAGAGAGTTGTAGCTAACAACTGCTAGAGTACATTATCAATGATCGTACACCATCAATTTTCGGACACTTGTTTTAGGAAAACTATACATTGCCATCTCATGAAACTGCAAAGTATTATAGCAATAGTTATCCTTTATTTGCGTGACAAAACTTGTAGCTCTAGCAAGAGTGCATAGAAAGTTATAAGCTCTCAAAGCGTGGTGTCCGACAATACCAATGATCGGCCAAAATTCTCAATCTTCGGACTGTCATTTC